TGTGTAAAAGACCAAGGTACAGACCAAGGTACAGACCAAGGTACAGACCAAGGTACAGACCAAGGTACAGACCGAGCCGTGGCCAGGTTAATAAATGTTTTATGATGTAACTATTTGTAAGTGATCCAAATATGGACGGGTTTGAAGTAAAAACACATTTGACCAAAGTGTCAAACTGTGACATGAAGAACAGAGGATTGAGGCGCCCGCTGTAAGTTCTCAGTCTGTGTCTTTACCAATGCTTTTTACATATCTGTGATGTTCATGTCCCACTTGGTTTTCCTGGTCCTGGTTTTACCTTTCTGGTCTGTAACCAAGTTGTCGATCTCTTCTTGACTGTTGGAGTTGTGTTTTGGTGGTTATTTGCTGTTGTTACTTCCTCTGGCTCTTCCAACTCGTCCTGATGATAGAATTCACTGAGAATGCTCCCAGTCGCTCATTATTTCTGTTTTACCGAGAAAATATATCAAATCTGATACTCGCTGCGGACCCATCGTCATGGTAACGGTCCGAGGAAAGATATCAAATCTGATACTCGCTGCGGACCCATCGTCATGGTAACGGTCCGAGGAAAGATATCAAATCTGATACTCGCTGCGGACCCATCGTCATGGTAACGGTCCGAGGAAAGATATCAAATCTGATACTCGCTGCGGACCCATCGTCATGGTAACGGTCCGAGGAAAGATATCAAATCTGATACTCGCTGCGGACCCATCGTCATGGTAACGGTCCGAGGAAAGATATCAAATCTGATACTCGCTGCGGACCCATCGTCATGGTAACGGTCCGAGGAAAGATATCAAATCTGATACTCGCTGCGGACCCATCGTCATGGTAACGGTCCGAGACAGGAAGATATCAAATCTGATACTCGCTGCGGACCCATCGTCATGGTAACGGTCCGAGACGGGAAGATATCAAATCTGATACTCGCTGCGGACCCATCGTCATGGTAACGGTCCGAGACGGGACGATATCAGACCGCAAATCAGCCAATCAGAGCGCACGGTCCAAGTCATATAATAAACTACGCTACAACATTGTTATGGGAGGTAAAAACAAAGTCGGGCTTGATACGGGTTTGGGTCTGAGAATTCTGAAAACCTGTCGGGCCGGGCCCAGATAATAGGCCCATGTAGGGCTCTAGTCTGAGGTAGGACTGTGGTTAAAACATTCACAGTTAGAATCAGGATCAAGAAGTTACAGACCTGAGCTTTAAGAAGTTAAAGACCTGAGCTTTAAGAAGTTACAGACCTGAGCTTTAAGAAGTTACAGACCTGAGCTTTAAGAAGTTACAGACCTGAGCTTTAAGAAGTTACAGAAGTCACAGACCTGAGCTTTAAGAAGTTTCAGACCTGAGCTTTAAGAAGTCACAGACCTGAGCTTTAAGAAGTTTCAGACCTGAGCTATAAGAAGTTACAGACCTGAGCTTTAAGAAGTCACAGACCTGAGCTTTAAGAAGTCACAGACCTGAGCTTTAAGAAGTTACAGACCTGAGCTTTAAGAAGTTACAAACCTGAGCTTTCAGAAGTTACAGACCTGAGCTTTAAGAAGTCACAGACCTGAGCTATAAGAAGTCACAGACCTGAGCTTTAAGAAGTTACAGACCTGAGCTTTAAGAAGTTACAGACCTGAGCTTTAAGAAGTTACAAACCTGAGCTTTAAGAAGTTACAGACCTGAGCTTTAAGAAGTTACAGACCTGAGCTTTAAGAAGTTACAGACCTGAGCTTTAAGAAGTCACAGACCTGAGCTTTAAGAAGTTACAGACCTGAGCTTTAAGAAGTTACAGACCTGAGCTTTAAGAAGTTACAGACCTGAGCTTTAAGAAGTTACAGACCTGAGCTTTAAGAAGTTACAGACCTGAGCTTTAACATTTATCAAAGTTTCAGTGTAAAACAGGACTCACCGCGACAGCAGAGACTCAGAAGAAGGACTCTGAGGGCCATGGTCGGAACCAGGTCTGAAGCAGGACTGGTCTGAACCAGGTCTGAACAGAGAACTGGTCTGAACCAGGTCTGAAGCAGGACTGGTCTGAACAAGGTCTGAAGCAGGACTGGTCTGAAGCAGGACTGGTCTGAAGCTGTATCTTTAGCGTGTGGTTATCTGCTGATCGTGGTTTCTCTGGTCACAGATGTGAGTTCATGTTTTTTCCGCCGTAACAAATGTCATCTCACTCCATCTGAGAAACTGTCACGACATCAGGACCTTCTTCAGCATTTTGTCACGGCATTCAGTTTGAGACAATATTACTCTGAAGTTACTCTGTTACTCTGAAGTTACTCTGAAGTCACTCTGAAGTTAATCTGAAGTTACTCTGAAGTTACTCTGAAGTTAAGTCACTCTGAAGTTACTCTGAAGTTACTCTGAAGTTACTCTGAAGTCACTCTGAAGTTACTCTGAAGTTACTCTGAAGTCACTCTGAAGTTACTCTGAAGTTACTCTGTTACTCTGAAGTCACTCTGAAGTTACTCTGAAGTCACTCTGAAGTTACTCTGTTACTCTGAAGTTACTCTGAAGTCACTCTGAAGTCACTCTGAAGTTACTCTGTTACTATGAAGTCACTCTGAAGTTAAGTTACTCTGAAGTTATGTTACTCTGAAGTTACTCTGAAGTTAAGTCACTCTAAAGTTACTCTGAAGTTATGTTACTCTAAAGTTACTCTGAAGTTATGTTACTCTGAAGTTACTCTGAAGTCACTCTGAAGTTACTCTGTTACTCTGAAGTTACTCTGAAGTTAAGTTACTCTGAAGTTATGTTACTCTGAAGTTACTCTGAAGTTAAGTCACTCTAAAGTTACTCTGAAGTTAAGTCACTCTAAAGTTACTCTGAAGTTAAGTCACTCTAAAGTTACTCTGAAGTTACTCTGAAGTCATTTAATAAGTGCATCCTTAAGTCCACAGCGGCTAAACTAGACTGGTTCGAAAACATATACTCCCCTCAGACAGCATCTGGAACCAAGAGGACCCAGAACTACTTTTGGACCAAGAACCACTTTTGGATCAAGAACCACTTTTGGACCATCCTGTGAAGGCGTTTTCCAGATGAAGTCTCCGTATAAACCATGTGTGTAGTCTCCGTATAAAACATGTGTTTAGTCTCTGTGGTAACCGTGGTAACGCTAGCATTATTAGGATTCTGACTGTAGTTTGTTCATTGCTATTCACCCGTTGTCCCATTGTCTGTTTCATGGTACGATGACGGGATCTCTGAGCCTGGCCTCCTCCATCTGCACCTGCGGACTGCCCCGCCCGACCCGCCTGGGAGTGCTTCGGTCCTGCACCGGACCTGTCCACGTTCAGCGGCCACTGGTCCACGTCCTGTAGCTAGCTTAGGTCCTGGATCATTAGCCTGTCCGTCCGGAGGAGCGGATCCCTTTCTCAAATGGGTCTCCCTCCCTGTGGGTTTCCCTAGTGCTCCCCAAGGTTTCTCACTTTTTCCCACTGGGTTTTTTAAGAGTTGTTCCTTGTGGATGCAGGAGGGTCTTGTTGGACAGTTAGTGTCCAACAGAAAGGATTGGTGATTGGTGATGATCAGGACACTTTAGCATTCTACAACATGTATGGACATTTTCTTCTTCATGTGTTTTAACTGTTGATTCTCTGAGGTTGGTGATTTCAATGGTTTTGTTAAGTCTCTGAGATGACTGCTGTTGTGACCTAGGGCTATACAAGAATACATTCTATTGTAATTGTATTGTATTGTGCTGACGACCACAAGCTAGCTGACGAACTGAACTTTTTTTTCCGTCGCTTTGATGCTGCCCCTGACACCTCTCCCTCCCCCACCCCCCACTACTCTAACGACCCACCCATCAGCCCTGCCCCCAGCCTAACAATAGCCTCTAAAGAGATTAAACAACTCTTCTTAAGGCTGCACCCCCGCAAAGCTCCTGGCCCGGACCACGTGTCTCCGGCCACTCTGAGACACTGCCCCAGTGAGCTTACTCCTGTGTTCACGGACATTTTCAACACCTCTCTGCAGTCCTGTCATGTCCCGGCCTGCTTCAAATCCTCCATCATTGTCCCCGTCCCGAAGAAGCCCAGGATCACAGGACTCAATGACTACAGACCTGTAGCACTTACGTCTGTCGTCATGAAGTCATTTGAACGCCTGGTTCTCTCCCATCTCAAGTCCCTCACCTCCCCCCTCCTGGACCCCCTGCAGTTCGCCTACAGAGCCAACAGATCTGTAGACGACGCCATTAACCTGGCCCTCCACCACATCCTACAGCACCTGGACTCCCCGGGGACCTACGCCAGGGTCCTGTTCGTGGACTTCAGCTCTGCCTTCAACACAATCCTGCCATCCCTGCTCCAGCACAAGCTCTCCCAGCTCAACGTGCCCGATTCCACCTGCAGGTGGATCACTGACTTCCTGACGGACAGGAAGCAGCGAGTGCGTCTGGGGAAGAATGTCTCGGACTCTGGGATTATAAATACAGGAGCCCCACAGGGCTGTGTTCTTTCTCCCCTGCTCTTCTCCCTGTACACCAACCACTGCACCTCCAGCCACGACTCTGTGAAGCTGATCAAGTTCGCGGACGACACCACCCTCATTGGACTCATCTCCAACAACGATGAGTCCGCCTACAGGAGGGAGGTGGACCGGCTGGTGTCCTGGTGTCTCCTACAGGAGGAGGTGGACCGGCTGGTGTCCTGGTGTCTCCTACAGGAGGGAGGTGGACCGGCTGGTGTCCTGGTGTCTCCTACAGGAGGGAGGTGAACCGGCTGGTGTCCTGGTGTCTCATACAGGAGGAGGTGGACCGGCTGGTGTCCTGATGTCTCCTACAGGAGGGAGGTGGACCGGCTGGTGTCCTGGTGTCTCCTACAGGAGGGAGGTGGACCGGCTGGTGTCCTGGTGTCTCCTACAGGAGGGAGGTGGACCGGCTGGTGTCCTGGTGCAGTGGTAACAACCTGGAGCTGAACGCCCAGAAGACAGTGGAGATGATTGTGGACTTCAGGAAGAGCACTGTCCCCCCACCCCCACCCTCCGTGATGGACTCCCCCATCACCTCTGTGGAGTCCTTCCGTTTCCTGGGCACCACCATCACCCAGGACCTCAAGTGGGAGCCGACCATCAGCTCCTCATCAAGAAGGCCCAGCAGAGGATGTACTTCCTGCGGCAGCTCAGGAAAGCCAAGCTGCCTGCAGAGATGTTGACCTCCTCCATCACCTCCTCCAGCACCTCCTCCATCACCTCCTCTATCACCTCCACCATCACCTCCTCATCACCTCCTCCATCACCTCCTCCATCACCTCCTCCATCACCTCCTCCATCACCTCCACCATCACCTCCACCATCACCTCCTCCATCACCTCCTCCATCACCTCCTCCATCACCTCCACCATCACCTCCACCATCACCTCCTCATCACCTCCTCCATCACCTCCACCATCACCTCCTCATCACCTCCTCCATCACCTCCTCCATCACCTCCTCCATCACCTCCTCCATCACCTCCACCATCACCTCCACCATCACCTCCTCCATCACCTCCTCCATCACCTCCTCCATCACCTCCTCATCACCTCCTCCATCACCTCCACCATCACCTCCTCATCACCTCCTCCATCACCTCCTCCATCACCTCCTCCATCACCTCCTCCATCACCTCCTCCATCACCTCCACCATCACCTCCTCATCACCTCCTCCATCACCTCCTCCATCACCTCCTCCATCACCTCCTCCATCACCTCCTCCATCACTTCCACCATCACCTCCACCATCACCTCCTCATCACCTCCTCCATCACCTCCTCCATCACCTCCTCCATCACCTCCTCATCACCTCCTCCATCACCTCCTCCATCACCTCCTCCATCACCTCCTCCATCACCTCCTCCATCACCTCCTCCATCACCTCCTCCATCACCTCCTCCATCACCTCCTCCATCACCGTGTGGTTCGCTGGAGCCACAGTCAGGGACAAACAGAGACTACAGTGCATTGTGCGCTCTGCAGAGGAAGTGATCGGCCGCAGCCTTCCATCGCTGCAGGACCTGTACGTCGCCCGAGCTCGAGGCCGGGCTGGTCGTATCACAGCCGACCCCTCTCACCTGCACATGGACTATTCCAACCACTCCCCTCTCACCTGCACATGGACTATTCCATCCACTCCCTTCTCACCCTGCACATGGACTATTCCAACCACTCCCCTCTCACCCTGCACATGGACTATTCCAACCACTCCCCTCTCACCTGCACATGGACTATTCCAACCACTCCCCTCTCACCTGCACATGGACTATTCCAACCACTCCCCTCTCACCTGCACATGGACTATTCCAACCACTCCCCTCTCACCTGCACATGGACTATTCCAACCACTCCCCTCTCACCCTGCACATGGACTATTCCAACCACTCCCCTCAGGCAGGAGGCTGCGGTCCATCAGGACTAGAACCTCCCGCCACAAGAACAGTTTCTTCCCCTCTGCTGTTGGACTCTTGAACACTTCTTAACCTGTCCCCCCGCCCTTTATAAAGTCACTTTACTGCCCATCATACGTCACTTTACTTCACTGTACTGCTGTCACCTTACATTGTGTGCACCATGTGCACTTGGATATTGTAAATAGTAACTGTAACTCTATTTTAAATTTAAATTTATTCCTTAGAAGTGTTTTTTATTCTTATTTTTATTATCTCTTTCTGACTGTTGCACTGAGCCAAAGCAATTTCCAAGTCTGTGACCTCCTGTTACTTACGTGGCAATAAAAATGATTCTGATTCTGGGTATTGAGAAGCTCTGTTCGTGTCAGACTTCTGCATTTGAATTTTGGCCCACTCTTCTTGACAATAATAATATGATAATAAATCGATTAAGACTCGTTCGGTTTCTCGTGAGTACTCGGCCTGGTCCTGACTGAGGACTCGTTCTGGTCCTGGTCTTCACCGAGGACTCGTTCTGGTCCTTATGGCAGACTGTTTACTCAAAGAACTTCAGTCTTGGCGGAAACAAAACTTTTATATTATGTAATATTAATTATCTAACAGCGGTCGTCTTTATCACAGGAAAGTATCAGCTGAGAGACCAGAGAGAGACCAGAGAGAGACCAGAGAGAGACCAGAGAGAGACCAGAGAGAGACCAGGGAGAGAGACCAGAGAGAGACCAGAGAGAGACCAGGGAGAGAGACCAGAGAGAGACCAGAGAGGGACCAGAGAGAGAGACTAGAGAGAGACCAGAGAGAGAGACTAGAGAGAGACCAGAGAGAGAGACCAGAGAGAGACCAGAGAGAGACTAGAGAGAGAGAGACCAGAGAGAGAGACCAGAGAGAGACCAGAGAGAGAGACTAGAGAGAGACCAGAGAGAGACCAGAGAGAGAGAGAGAGACCAGAGAGACCACAGAGAGAGACCAGAGAGCGACTAGAGAGAGAGAGACCAGAGAGAGAGACCAGAGAGAGACTATAGAGAGAGACCAGAGAGAGACCAGAGAGAGACCAGAGAAAGACCAGAGAGAGAGACCATGAACCAGTGAACCATGTAACAGTGAGGGACCATTGTACTATATAAATGCTTCAGTCGTGGTAGCATAATAAAAGCAAAAGGCTCTTCATGGTCACATCAAAACCATGTGTTTATTGCTTGTTGGAGCCACCAGCGGCTTTTACATTCAAACAGTTGAGCCCCAGTTATAGTTTGTTTACAGAGTTTGAAAACAAAAAAATAAAGTATTGTATATAAAATACATATAAAGTTGTAGTAATTAGAGAATGATATACGTTTTGTTCATAGACAGTAGAGAGCCAAATTCTCTCATGGCAACTACATAGCAACCAAAGAGCCAATCAGGAGCAAGGCTGGCCTGTTAGCGCTTATGCTATTCGCTAGCTGAAGCCAGATTAGGAGGCGCCTGAGTCAAATATCTGGATTTACAAAGACATTTCAAAATAAAAGCAGCCATATGTTTGTGAGACCAGAGAGAGACCAGAGAGAGACCAGAGAGAGACCAGAGAGAGCAGAGAGAGACCAGAGAGAGACCAGAGAGAGACCAGAGAGAGAGACCAGAGAGAGACCAGAGAGAGAGACCAGAGAGAGAGACCAGAGAGAGACCAGAGAGAGAGAGAGACCAGAGAGAGACAAGAGAGAGACCAGAGAGAGAGAGCAGAGAGAGAGACCAGAGAGAGAGACCAGAGAGAGACCAGAGAAAGACCAGAGAGAGACCAGAGAGAGAGACCAGAGAGAGACCAGAGAGAGAGACCAGAGAGAGACCAGAGAGAGACCAGAGAGAGAGACCAGAGGGAGACCAGAGAGAGAGACCAGAGAGAGAGACCAGAGAGAGACCAGAGAGAGAGAGAGACCAGAGAGAGAGAGACCAGAGAGAGAGCAGAGAGAGACCAGAGAAAGACCAGAGAGAGAGCAGAGAGAGAGACCAGAGAGAGAGACCAGAGAGAGAGACCAGAGAGAGAGACCAGAGAGAGACCAGAGAGAGACCAGAGAGAGACCAGAGAGAGAGACCAGAGAGAGAGCAGAGAGAGACCAGAGAGAGCAGAGAGAGACCAGAGAGAGAGCAGAGAGAGACCAGAGAGAGACCAGAGAGAGACCAGAGAGAGAGAGAGACCAGAGAGAGAGCAGAGAGAGAGACCAGAGAGAGACCAGAGAGAGAGAGACCAGAGAGAGAGCAGAGAGAGACCAGAGAAAGACCAGAGAGAGAGCAGAGAGAGAGACCAGAGACCAGAGAGAGAGACCAGAGAGAGAGAGAGAGAGAGAGAGACCAGAGAGAGACCAGAGAGAGACCAGAGAGAGACCAGAGAGAGAGACCAGAGAGAGACCAGAGAGAGCAGAGAGAGACCAGAGAGAGACCAGAGAGAGAGCAGAGAGAGACCAGAGAGAGCAGAGAGAGACCAGAGAGAGACCAGAGAGAGACCAGAGAGAGACCAGAGAGAGAGACCAGAGAGAGACCAGAGAGAGACCAGAGAGAGACCAGAGAGAGAGCAGAGAGAGACCAGAGAGAGCAGAGAGAGACCAGAGAGAGACCAGAGAGAGACCAGAGAGAGACCAGAGAGAGAGACCAGAGAGAGACCAGAGAGAGACCAGAGAGAGACCAGAGAGAGAGCAGAGAGAGACCAGAGAGAGACCAGAGAGAGACCAGAGAGAGACCAGAGAGAGACCAGAGAGAGACCAGAGAGAGAGAGACCAGAGAGAGAGACCAGAGAGAGAGACCAGAGTCTTTTTTCCGTAACTTATAGTAATTCCCTTTACCAGAGTGTGTTTGCTCGTCACATGGTCAACATGTAGAACCAGTCAAACCTCTCGTCGTACAAAAAACTACAGTAATTAGTATTTTTTTCGATATAAATAACACACACAAAATAACACAGCAAAAGGTTTTCACAGAACACGCTTGTGCTTCATGGAAAGCTCTGATATGAACTGCTCCATGTCACAGTTAAAGGAGACCGTCCCTTTAACTGAGTCAAAGGGACTGTCCCTGTGCTGCCGTTTGTACAGTATGGGTACAGTGATAATGATACAAACTGTAGCTGCAGTAGATGTGATAAATGCTCTTATATTCTGTTGGATATGACTCGTATGTGAGAGTCTGCATCAGGAGCAGGTCTGAGGACAGAGCTGCTGTTGTTCCCTGATTTATCTGCTCTAAGCAAGAGGACAACCTCACTTCCTGTTTAGGGCTGCACTATGACCCCCACTTCCTGTTTAGGGCTGCACTATGACCCCCACTTCCTGTTTAGGGCTGCACTATGACCCCACTTCCTGTTTAGGGCTGCACTATGACCCCCACTTCCTGTTCAGGGCTGCACTATGACCCCCACTTCCTGTTTAGGGCTGCACTATGACCCCATTTCCTGTTCAGGGCTGCACTATGACCCCACTTCCTGTTTAGGGCTGCACTATGACCCCCACTTCCTGTTCAGGGCTGCACTATGACCCCCACTTCCTGTTTAGGGCTGCACTATGACCCCACTTCCTGTTCACGGCTGCACTATGACCCCCACTTCCTGTTTAGGGCTGCACTATGACCCCCACTTCCTGTTTAGAGCTGCACTATGACCCCCATTTCCTGTTCAGGCCTGCACTATGACCCCCACTTCCTGTTCAAGGCTGCACTATGACCCCCACTTCCTGTTCAGGGCTGCACTATGACCCCCACTTCCTGTTTTGTAACTTCAGCTTTTTACAGCAACAGGCCCTTTCTGCGTGGAGTTTGCATGTTCTCCTCGTGTAAGCATAGCGAGCTCTGGTTTCTCCCCAACACTAAAAACACGTAGTCCTGGAGACGGGCTCTGTTACTACGGCGACCGCTGGAGAGACGGGTCAAATGCAGAGGACACGTTTCCGTACAGGGACAATACACTAAACTTACATTGGTGTTTATTTTATTATGATTTTCTATTTTGTCCAAAGCCGTGTCCGTGACGTGAGCAGTCGTTATAAACTTTATTGTGTTATTTATTGGAGCGACCGTCATGGCACATGTTTTTAATGGAAACCGGAGCACCTGGAGGAAACCGGAGCACCTGGAGAACATGCAAACTCCCCTCAGATTCCCATGTAATCTTTTACCCTGGAGTAATCAGTGTTTCTCGGTGTAAATGGAATTGATTCATTAAACAAAACAGCAAATAATAATATAAAAGACAAAGCACAAATCTTTCCCAGTCGTGCCGACATGAAACTGGTGACAGTCGAACACTTTCATTCTCTCTCTCCTCCTGTTCCCTTAAATTACATCACACTTGTCTTTTGTTGTAAATTCTCTCCTGTTTTGCGACATTACTTTGGAGTTAATTGGTGTAAAGTGGGAGAAAGTCTTAGTAACTTTCATTCTCTCTCTTGTCCTGTGTATACGACACACGTCTCGGTGTAAACGGTCTCTTTCCTCCTGTCTTACATACAGAGCCTTGCAAAAGTGCAAAAGTATTCACCCCCTTTGTTATGAAGCCCATAAAAAGCTCTGGTGCAGCCGACTACCTTCAGAAGTTACATAAACAGTGAAATGATGTCCACCTGTGTGCAGTCTAAGAGTCACATGACCTGTCAGTACATACACACCTTTAAGAGTCACATGACCTGTCAGTACATACACACCTTTAAGAGTCACATGACCTGTCAGTACATACATGACCTGTCAGTACATACACACCTGTGTCACATGACCTGTCAGTACATACACACCTTTAAGTGTCACATGACCTGTCAGTACACACACACCTGTGTCACATGACCTGTCAGTACATACACACCTGTGTCACATGATCTGTCAGTACATACACACCTGTGTCACATGACCTGTCAGTACATACACACCTGTGTCACATGACCTGTCAGTACATACACACCTGTGTCACATGATCTGTCAGTACATACACACCTGTGTCACATGACCTGTCAGTACACACACACCTGAAAGGCCTCAGAGGCTGCAACACCAAAGCAAGAGGCACCACTGACCAAACACTGCCATGAAGACCAAGGAACTCTCCAAACAATGGCAGAGTCAAAGCCCAGAGCTCAGTCCAATAGAACATCTGTGTCAGACTTAAAGATTGCTGTTCACAAGCGCAAACCATCCAACTTGAAGGAGCTGGAGCAGTTTTGCAAGGAGGAATGGGCAAACATCCCAGTGGTGAGATGTGGCAAGCTCATAGAGACTTATCCAAAGAGACTTGGAGCTGTGACTGCTGCAAAAGGAGGCTCTACAAAGCATTGACTTTAGGGGGTGAATACATATGCACATGCCAATTTCCAGTTTTTTATTTCTGAAAAATAGTTTTATGTAAATATTTTCCTCAATTCACTTCACCAACTTAGACTATTGTTTTCTGATCCATCACATGAAATTCAGATTAAAAAAACATTGAACTAAAGGCTGTGATGTAACGTAGTAGGTAAAAAGGCAAGGGGGGTGAATACTTTTGCAAGGCACTGTAACTCGGCGTCTCTTGGTGTAAAGTGGGGACCAAAGCCTAGAAGGTGTCGTCGGGGTCTCTGCGGGACATGATGAGCTGCCTGCGGGGGCCGGACAGGTGCGGGACGCTGACCGCGGCCTCCACCGCGGCGCCGCAGTCCAGCCGCGGCGTGGAGGTGCAGCGCGGCCCCACCCCCCGGACCATCAGGGAGCGCACGTCCCGGTGCAGCGCGGGGTCCGAGGGGATGGAGCTCAGGTGCTCCATGCTGCCGCTGCACGGGGACTGCGGGTCTGCGCTGAAGTACAGCGTGGAGCTGGACTCGGTGGGGCAGAAGTACGGCTCAGGGCTGTCCCCGAACACGGACTTTCCTTCAGGAGAGCTGCGTTTGTCCGAGGTGGGCGTCTCCATGTCCAGGCTGCTGTCCTCGCCGCCCGTGGACGACAGCAGCTCGCTCACGCTCTGGAACTCGTCTTTACAGTCGGAGAGCGGCGCCGCGCCTTTGTCCTCGGACGCAGAGATGGGCCTGCAGCAACACAACAGATTCATGTTTTATTTCTCTGAATCACAAAAGTCGTTTTCTCAGAGGACTGAGGACAGAACTATTCACCAACACAGAGAATCAAACAGAACATCTACTTTCTTCTGCTTTATCTGTTACCGGGTCGTGGAGGCAGCACAGACTCCCCTCTCCACAGACACCTCCTGCAGCTCATCTGGGGGAATCCTGAGGTGTTCTCAGCTGAGACACAGTCCCCCTGGGTCCTGGGTCCTGTCCTGGGTCCCTGTCCTGGGTCCCTGTCCTGGGTCCCTGTCCTGGGTCCCTGTCCTGGGTCCTGTCCTGGGTCCTGTCCTGGGTCCCTGTCCTGGGTCCCTGTCCTGGGGCCCTGTCCTGGGGCCCTGTCCTGGGGCCCTGTCCTGGGTCCATGCCCTGGGTCATGCCCTGGGTCCCTGTCCTGGGTCCTGTCCTGGGTCCCTGTCCTGGGTCCTGTCCTGGGTCCTGTCCTGGGTCCTGTCCTGGGCCCTGTCCTGGGTCCTGTCCTGGGTCCCTGTCCTGGGTCCTTGTCCTTGGTCATGCCCTGGGTCCCTGTCCTGGGTCCTGTCCTGGGTCCCTGTCCTGGGTCCCTGTCCTGGGTCCTTGTCCTGGGTCCTGTCCTGGGCCCTGTCCTGGGTCCCTGTCCTGGGTCCTTGAAATCTATTAGGATTAGATCATCGTCGCCCTGGTACAGTGTTCAACTCCACACTTTAAAACAGGACGTCAGAAAATTGGAGAGGCTATATCGCCACTCCCACTCGGAGCCTGTCCACAGGGAGTGGAAAGCAGGTCTCCGAAACTATAAGAATGCCCTTCGCAGGGCTCGAACTCAATACTATTCAACTTTAATAGAAGCGAATAAAAACAACAGTAGATTTTTGTTTGGTACCGTCGCTAAACTCACAAACTGCCATAGCGCAATCGAGCCTAAAATTCCAAGCTCACTGAGCAGTGTCGACTTTCTCCACTTCTTTAATAATAAAATTACATCCATCCGTGACAAGCTGGAGGAGGTTGCTCCTGCTGTTAGTGGTGGACAGGCTGAAGCGGCATACGTGACTTCCCACTTAGACTCTTCAGTGGGCCTTAATAAATTCATGGCTGTGAGCCAAGCAGAGGTGATCTCTGTGGTCACATCCTCAAAAGCCTCAACTTGCATGTTAGACGCAGTCCCGACATGGCTCTTCAAAGACATACTTCCTTTGATAATTGAGCCTATCGTAAATATAATAAACGCATCCATACAATGTGGCTATGTCCCACAAGCTTTTAAAACCGCGGTAATCAAACCCCTTCTGAAGAAAACAAACCTGGACCCAGAAATACTTACAAACTACAGACCGATCTCAAACCTCACTTTTATATCTAAAATCCTGGAAAAACTTATAGCTGAGCAGCTCCGCTGCCACCTGCAGGAAAATGATATGTTTGAAGTCTTTCAATCAGGATTCAGAGCTCATCATAGACTGAAACGGCACTAGTCAAAGTCACAAATGACTTACTACTAGCTGCTGATAATGGACAAGTGTCAGTGCTGGTCCTACTGGACCTTAGTGCTGCATTTGACACAATAGACCACAGCATTCTACTGCAGAGGCTAGAATGTGATATAGGTCTTAGAGGAACAGCCCTTGGCTGGTTTAAATCCTATTTATCAGATCGGTATCACTTCGTCAACGTAAATCAGAACTCGTCACCTTATTCTGGAGTAGAATTCGGTGTGCCGCAGGGTTCGGTACTCGGACCGATTCTTTTTACTCTCTACATGCTGCCATTGGGAAACATTATTAAAAAGCATGGAATTAATTTCCACTGCTATGCAGATGACACACAGCTTTATCTGTCGATGAAGCCAAATCAGACAGATCAGCTAGAAAAGCTCAGTGCCTGCATAAAGGACCTTAAAATGTGGATGACTCTTAACTTCCTACTTCTCAACCCGGAGAAGACAGAAGTGATCCTACTCGGTCCGAAGCGCCTGCGTGACTCCCTCACTAACCAGATGGTTACTCTCGATAATGTCAGTATAATACCCAGTAACACTGTGAGGAATCTTGGAGTCATTTTTGACCAAGAACTCTCCTTCAAGGCTTATATAAGCCAAGCAACTAAAACGGCGTACTTCCACTTACGGAACATCGCTAAAATTAGGAATTTCCTTCCTAAAAGTGACGCGGAAAAACTCATTCACGCGTTTGTCACCTCAAGGCTCGACTACTGTAACGCTTTACTGGCAGCGTGCCCTAAAGCCTCTTTGAAGAGCTTCCAGCTCGTTCAGAATACAGCAGCTAGGATCTTAACAGGTACCAAAAGGAGGGAGCACATAACTCCGGTGTTAAAATCACTCCACTGGCTCCTGTGGAGTACAGAATAAAGTTTAAAATCCTTCTCTTAACATATAAAGCCATAAATGGCTTGGCTCCTTCTTATCTCCAAGACACGTTAGTGTCGTATCAACCAAGTCGAGCGTTGCGCTCACAAAACGCCAGACGTCTGGTGGTCCCTAAGGTCTCAAAGGTCACTGTTGGTGGCAGAGCATTTAGCTACCAAGCTCCTTTACTGTGGAATCAGCTTCATTTATGTTAAGGAAGCAGATACGGTCTCCACATTCAAGGCCAGGCTTAAAGCACTTTACTTTAATTTAGCATATAATTAGGTAATATATAATATGTGGTGTATATATTATATATGTATGCTGTATTATGTTATATATTATGTTATATATTATTCAATAATGTATTGTGTTATGTTGTATATTATGTTATATATTATGCTGTATGTTATTCTTTATTCAAGGCTAGGTTTAAAACAGTCCTCTTTAGTTTAGCATATGGCTAGGAAGGTAAGACTCTGGGAAGGCTAAACTCCTCAGACTGTCAGTCAAGCTGCATAGGGAGCCCCCTGCTGGAGAAGTATGGTAACTTGAGCACTATCCTCTCCTCCTTCCTACTTTATCTGTTTAGCACTTTTAGGATTCTGACTGTAGTTTGTTCATTGCTATTCACCCGTTGTCCCATTGTCTGTTTCATGGTACGATGACGGGATCTCTGAGCCTGGCCTCTTCCATCTACACCTGCGGACTGCCCCGCCCGACCCGCCTGGGAGTGCTTCAGTCCTGCACCGGACCTGTCCACGTTCAGCGGCCACTGGTCCACGTTCTGTAGCTATAGCTTAGGTCCTGGGTCATTAGCCTGTCCGTCCGGAGGAGCGGATCCCTTTCTCATATGGGTCTCCCTCCCTGTGGGTTTCCCTAGTTCTCCTCCAAGGTTTCTCACTTTTTCCCACTGGGTTTTTTAAGAGTTGTTCCTTGTGGATGCAGGAGGGTCTTGTTGGACAGTTAGTGTCCAACAGAAAGGATTGGTGATGATCAGGACACTTTAGCATTCTACAACATGTATGGACATTTTCTTCTGTGTGTGCTTTATATTCTTCATGTGTTTTAACTGTTGACCTCTGACCTGTGTTGGTGATTTCAATGGTTTTGTTAAGTCTCTGAGATGACTTCTGTTGTGACCTAGGGCTATACAAGAATACATTGTATTGTATTGTCCTGGGTCATGCCCTGGGTCCCTGTCCTGGGTCCTGTCCTGGGTCCTGTCCTGGGTCCTGTCCTGGGTCCCTGTCCTGGGTCCCTGTCCTGGGTCCCTGTCCTGGGTCCCTGTCCTGGGTCCCTGTCCTGGGTCCCTGTCCTGGGTCCCTGTCCTGGGTCCCTGTCCTGGGTCCTGTCCTGGGTCCCTGTCCTGGGTCCTGTCCTGGGTCCTGTCCTGGGTCCTGTCCTGGGTCCTGTCCTGGGTCCTGTCCTGGGTCCCTGTCCTGGGTCCCTGTCCTGGGTCCTGTCCTGGGTCCCTGTCCTGGGTCCTGTCCTGGGTCCCTGTCCTGGGTCCTGTCCTGGGTCCCTGTCCTGGGTCCCTGTCCTGGGTCCTGTCCTGGGTCCCTGTCCTGGGTCCAGTCCTGGGTCCTGTCCTGGGTCCCTGTCCTGGGTCCTGTCCTGGGTCCCTGTCCTGGGTCCTGTCCTGGGTCCCTGTCCTGGGTCCTGTCTTGGGTCCTGTCCTGGGTCCCTGTCCTGGGTCCTGTCCTGGGTCCCTGTCTTGGGTCCTGTCCTGGGTCCCGTCCTGGGTCCTGTCCTGGGTCCTGTCCTGGGTCCTGTCCTGGGTCCTGTCCTGGGTCCTGTCCTGGATCCCTGTCCTGGGTCCTGTCCTGGGTCCTGTCCTGGGTCCCTGTCCTGGGTCCCTGTCCTGGGTCCCTGTCCTGGGTCCTGTCCTGGGTCCCTGTCTTGGGTCCTGTCTTGGGTCCTGTCCTGGGTCCTGTCCTGGGTCCTGTCCTGGGTCCTGTCCTGGGTCCTGTCCTGGGTCCCTGTCCTGGGTCCTGTCCTGGGTCCTGTCCTGGGCCCTGTCCTGGGTCCTGTCCTGGGTCCTGTCCTGGGAGGAGACCAGGAGGCCTCGGGAACAGATGAGCCACCTCAAATGGCTCTGCTCCACTTGGAGGAGCAGCGGCTCTACTCTGAGCTCCTCTATCTCTCAGGGAGCTCTAATCTGGAGGAAGCTCATGTGGAGCTGTGTCCGTGATCTGACCCAAAGCTCAGGACCAGAGCAGAGGGACAGAGATCCAAACACTATCAAATAAATGATAAAAACACATTGGTCCATAAAGAGACCAGTGACCATAAATGTAGATGAAGACCATAAATGTGATAAAGACCATAAATGTAGATGAAGACCATAAATGTAGATGAAGACCATAAATGTAGATGAAGACCATAAATGTAGATGAAGACCATAAATGTAGATGAAGACCATAAATGTAGAAAAAGACCATAAATGTAGATAAAGACCATAAATGTAGATGAAGACCATAAATGTAGATGAAGACCATAAATGTAGATGAAGACCATAAATGTAGAAAAAGACCATAAATGTGATGAAGACCATAAATGTAGATGAAGACCATAAATGTAGATGAAGACCATAAATGTAGATGAAGACCATAAATGTAGAAAAAGACCATAAATGTAGATAAAGACCATAAATGTAGATGAAGACCATAAATGTAGATGAAGACCATAAATGTAGATGAAGACCATAAATGTAGAAAAAGACCATAAATGTAGAAAAAGACCATAAATGTGATAAAGACCATAAATGTAGAAAAAGACCATAAATGTAGAAAAAGACCATAAATGTAGAAAAAGACCATAAATGTAGATGAAGACCATAAATGTAGATGAAGACCATAAATGTAGATGAAGACCATAAATGTAGAAAAAGACCATAAATGTAGATGAAGACCATAAATGTAGATGAAGACCATAAATGTAGATGAAGACCATAAATGTAGAAAAAGACCATACATGTATTATATATTTTTGCTTAAAAGTCACAAAGTTACAAAGACCAACCAGTCTGAGTAAAAACAATCAAAGTAAAAGTGCTAAGTGTGTCCAGTGTCTTACGTGTTGAGGCCCTCGCACGTGGCCGCCGCCGTGATGGTCAGGTGGTCGTTGCTCTTGAAGTCGTTGTAGTCGTCCAGATCCAAGATGGCGGCCGCGCCCCCCGCCCCGTAGGCCCGGTTGATCTTGGCCAAGTCTCCGGTCTTGAGCGCGAGTCGGATCAGGAGCCAGTGGTGGTGGGAGCAGGGGCAGTGGGAGGCCCTGTGGGGGAAGAGAGAGACGGATAGGCTGCCATGGTACTGGTGCTGGTCCTGCTGCTGGTCCTGGTACTGGTGCTGGTGCTGGTGCTGGTGCTGGCTCTTGTCGCCCAGAGAGAAGGAGGAGTCTCCCTGTTGGATGCAGGCGCTGCCCATGTGCGGGTGCAGGCGGCCGGACCAGATCTCGGTGGACTTGGGGTGAAGGAAGCGGTAATACAGCAGCAGAGACAGGCAGCCTGAGGGACACATGGTTAGTCTGTGAGGAGGAACCATCAAGGGTTAGGGTTAGTCTGTGAGGGGGAACCATCAAGGGTTAGGGTTAGTCTGTGAGGAGGAACCATCAAGGGTTAGGGTTAGTCTGTGAGGAGGAACCATCAAGGGTTAGGGTTAGTCTGTGAGGAGGAACCATCAAGGGTTAGGGTTAGTCTGTGAGGAGGAACCATCAAGGGTTAGGGTTAGTCTGTGAGGAGGAACCATCAAGGGTTAGGGTTAGTCTGTGAGGGGGAACCATCAAGGGTTAGGGTTAGTCTGTGAGGAGGAACCATCAAGGGTTAGGGTTAGTCTGTGAGGAGGAACCATCAAGGGTTAGGGTTAGTCTGTGAGGAAGAACCATCAAGGGTTAGGGTTAGTCTGTGAGGAGGAACCATCAAGGGTTAGGGTTAGTCTGTGAGGAGGAACCATCAAGGGTTAGGGTTAGTCTGTGAGGAGGAACCATCAAGGGTTAGGGTTAGTCTGTGTGGAGGAACCATCAAGGGTTAGGGTTAGTCTGTGAGGAGGAACCATCAAGGGTTAGGGTTAGTCTGTGAGGAGGAACCATCAAGGGTTAGGGTTAGTCTGTGAGGAGGAACCATCAAGGGTTAGTGTTAGTCTGTGAGGAGGAACCATCAAGGGTTAGTGTTAGTCTGTGAGGAGGAACCATCAAGGGTTAGTGTTAGTCTGTGAGGAGGAACCATCAAGGGTTAGTGTTAGTCTGTGAGGAGGAACCATCAAGGGTTAGGGTTAGTCTGTGAGGAGGAACCATCAAGGGTTAGGGTTAGTCTGTGAGGAGGAACCATCAAGGGTTAGTGTTAGTCTGTGAGGAGGAACCATCAAGGGTTAGTGTTAGTCTGTGAGGAGGAACCATCAAGGGTTAGGGTTAGTCTGTGAGGAGGAACCATCAAGGGTTAGGGTTAGTCTGTGAGGAGGAACCATCAAGGGTTAGGGTTAGTCTGTGAGGAGGAACCATCAAGGGTTAGTGTTAGTCTGTGAGGAGGAACCATCAAGGGTTAGTGTTAGTCTGTGAGGAGGAACCATCAAGGGTTAGTGTTAGTCTGTGAGGAGGAACCATCAAGGGTTAGTGTTAGTCTGTGAGGAGGAACCATCAAGGGTTAGGGTTAGTCTGTGAGGAGGAACCATCAAGGGTTAGGGTTAGTCTGTGAGGAGGAACCATCAAGGGTTAGGGTTAGTCTGTGAGGAGGAACCATCAAGGGTTAGTGTTAGTCTGTGAGGAGGAACCATCAAGGGTTAGGGTTAGTCTGTGAGGAGGAACCATCAAGGGTTAGGGTTAGTCTGTGAGGAGGAACCATCAAGGGTTAGTGTTAGTCTGTGAGGAGGAACCATCAAGGGTTAGTGTTAGTCTGTGAGGAGGAACCATCAAGGGTTAGGGTTAGTCTGTGAGGAGGAACCATCAAGGGTTAGGGTTAGTCTGTGAGGAGGAACCATCAAGGGTTAGGGTTAGTCTGTGTGGAGGAACCATCAAGGGTTAGGGTTAGTCTGTGAGGAGGAACCATCAAGGGTTAGGGTTAGTCTGTGAGGAGGAACCATCAAGGGTTAGGGTTAGTCTGTGAGGAGGAACCATCAAGGGTTAGTGTTAGTCTGTGAGGAGGAACCATCAAGGGTTAGTGTTAGTCTGTGAGGAGGAACCATCAAGGGTTAGTGTTAGTCTGTGAGGAGGAACCATCAAGGGTTAGTGTTAGTCTGTGAGGAGGAACCATCAAGGGTTAGGGTTAGTCTGTGAGGAGGAACCATCAAGGGTTAGGGTTAGTCTGTGAGGAGGAACCATCAAGGGTTAGTGTTAGTCTGTGAGGAGGAACCATCAAGGGTTAGTGTTAGTCTGTGAGGAGGAACCATCAAGGGTTAGGGTTAGTCTGTGAGGAGGAACCATCAAGGGTTAGGGTTAGTCTGTGAGGAGGAACCATCAAGGGTTAGGGTTAGTCTGTGAGGAGGAACCATCAAGGGTTAGTGTTAGTCTGTGAGGAGGAACCATCAAGGGTTAGTGTTAGTCTGTGAGGAGGAACCATAAGGGTTAGTGTTAGTCTGTGAGGAGGAACCATCAAGGGTTAGTGTTAGTCTGTGAGGAGGAACCATCAAGGGTTAGGGTTAGTCTGTGAGGAGGAACCATCAAGGGTTAGGGTTAGTCTGTGAGGAGGAACCATCAAGGGTTAGTGTTAGTCTGTGAGGAGGAACCATCAAGGGTTAGTGTTAGTCTGTGAGGAGGAACCATCAAGGGTTAGGGTTAGTCTGTGAGGAGGAACCATCAAGGGTTAGGGTTAGTCTGTGAGGAGGAACCATCAAGGGTTAGGGTTAGTCTGTGAGGAGGAACCATCAAGGGTTAGTGTTAGTCTGTGAGGAGGAACCATCAAGGGTTAGGGTTAGTCTGTGAGGAGGAACCATCAAGGGTTAGGGTTAGTCTGTGAGGAGGAACCATCAAGGGTTAGTGTTAGTCTGTGAGGAGGAACCATCAAGGGTTAGTGTTAGTCTGTGAGGAGGAACCATCAAGGGTTAGGGTTAGTCTGTGAGGAGGAACCATCAATGGTTAGGGTTAGTCTGTGAGGAGGAACCATCAAGGGTTAGTGTTAGTCTGTGAGGAGGAACCATCAAGGGTTAGTGTTAGTCTGTGAGGAGGAACCATCAAGGGTTAGGGTTAGTCTGTGAGGAGGAACCATCAAGGGTTAGGGTTAGTCTGTGAGGAGGAACCATCAAGGGTTAGTGTTAGTCTGTGAGGAGGAACCATCAAGGGTTAGGGTTAGTCTGTGAGGAGGAACCATCAAGGGTTAGGGTTAGTCTGTGAGGAGGAACCATCAAGGGTTAGGGTTAGTCTGTGAGGAGGAACCATCAAGGGTTAGGGTTAGTCTGTGAGGAGGAACCATCAAGGGTTAGTGTTAGTCTGTGAGGAGGAACCATCAAGGGTTAGGGTTAGTCTGTGAGGAGGAACCATCAAGGGTTAGGGTTAGTCTGTGAGGAGGAACCATCAAGGGTTAGGGTTAGTCTGTGAGGAGGAACCATCAAGGGTTAGTGTTAGTCTGTGAGGAGGAACCATCAAGGGTTAGGGTTAGTCTGTGAGGAGGAACCATCAAGGGTCTTTTCATCATTCAGCCTAGCTTTAGCATTCAGCCTAGCTTTAGCAGTTAGCTTAGCTTTAGCATTTAGCCTAGCTTTAGCATTCAGCCTAGCTTTAGCAGTTAGCCTAGCTTTAGCAGTTAGCCTAGCTTTAGCAGTTAGCCTAGCTTTAGCAGTTAGCCTAGCCTTAACCATGCTTTGCTAACGGAGCCTGTGGGGAGTAGAGCCACAACATATTTGCTTCAGTGACATTTACTAAACATTCCTCTTGCTCCAGCTTCAGTTTCTTGATATTTGGATTGAACCAGAACAGATTATTTTACTATCACAGTCTTCATGGTCCAGACCAGGGGTCACCAACGCGATGCCCGTAAGGACCAGATGAGTCGCCCGCTGGCCTGTTCTAAAAATAGGTCAAAAAGCAGCACTTACCAGTGCAGTGTTTAAATCACACTTACATGTAACTTACAAATGACAATATATATAAACTAGGGCCGGGAATTTAACGTGTTAATTAAGATGAATTAATTTAGCAAACAGCGTACGGGCATAAAAAGCGTCTGTTGTCGTCAGAGTGTGGAGGTGATGACAGAAACGTTGATGGGAAAGAAGTTATCCCTGATCCTCCACAATGAACATGTGTTGCTTAAGTTTATGTATTCAGTCATTATTCAATGATATACCAAAAATCCATGTGAAAGAAAGAAAGGAAAGAAAAAATAACTTCTCACTGTTTTCAGGTCAAATATTTAAATGCGATTAACTCTGACCTTGTAAAGTTCAAAGGTCAATATTGTGCGCATGACGCAGCGTTTGTTGCCCTCTAACAATCTAAAGACAAAGCCAAAACATGTCAGAAAAAAGAAAAGAGGTAGAGTTCTGTTACCACTGTGAAAGGATCCTGCGTGTGTTTCATTTGCGGGGCAACTGTGGCAATAGCAAAGCGGCACAATGTGGAGAGACATTTCACTGTGTCACACAAGCTACAATGCTAACTACCACCGGGCTAACTACCACCGGGCTAACTACCACCGGGCTAACTACCACCGGGCTAACTACCACCGGGCAGCGCACTACGGGCAGAAAAAGCCAGTTAAAGGCAGCTCTGTGCAAACAGCCGGTTAAAAACTCCCAAAAAGCAACCGAAGCCTCGTTTAGAGCTACGCAATTCTTGATGAAGAAAAAGAAGGCATTTACCGACGGGGAGGTAGTCAAAGAAGCAATGATGATAATTGCTAAAATTGTGCTTGAAGACGAGAAGTATGGAACCGATGTACTCTCCAGTCTCTGCCATGTTCAACTCGGGGCCACTACAATGGTAAGAAGAGTGTCGGCGATGTCTGGACCGTGATCTGGCGAGGTGCCAGTGGTTCAGTATCCAGTGTGATGAGTCGGTGGTCAGCAGCAGTACAGCTGATGGTCTTTATCCGGATGGTGTTTGATGAAGAACTTCTGACACTACTGCCCCTGAAGACAACTACGAGGGGAGTTGACATTTATAACGCAGTCAAGGGGTTTTTGGTGGAAAAAAAGGTGCCGCTGGAAAAGCTGGCATCAGTGACCACGGATGGGGCTCCTGCTATGATCGGCCGACACACAGGATTGGTTGCTCACTGTAAAGCTGACCCAGAGTTCCCAAACTTTCTGCAGTACCACTGCATCATACACCAGCAGGCCTTATGTGCAAAAGTGATCGGCTTTGAGCACGTAATGAGTCCTGTCGTAAAGATCATTAACAGCATTCGCTCCAGAGCTAAACAGCACAGAACATTGAAGGTACTTTTGGAGGAGCTGTCAGCTGAATACGGGGACCTGCTACTACACACAGAAATCCAATGGCTCAGCAGGGGACCAAGTTTGCAACGTTTTTTGTCACTTTTGGCTGAAATCAAAGAGTTCATGCAGTCCAGAGGTGAGGACACCGTGCTGCTGGAGGACACTGAGTGGATACTTGACCTTGCATTTTTAACGGACATTACTGGAAAACTGAACAGTTTGAACTGTGCGCTGCAAGGCAAAGGTAAAACTGTCGCCGATATGATAAGTGCTTTAAATGCATTTAAAAGCTAAGATGACCCTTTTCTCTGTGCATTTCCAGAGAAAAAAAGTGCTGCACTTTCCCTCTGTGCAGATGGTGCTGAAAGACAATGCTTCTGCATCTGAGGCTTTTGACACAGTTGCAGAAAAGTACTCTCAGGTCATAAACAGAGTTGGACAAGAGTTTGAGAACAGGTTTTGTGACCTGGATCAGCTTGAGCCATGTGTGTTGTTCATTTCTAATCCTTTCATGGACGTGGACATATCCTGCATTGCTGAGCAGTGAAGTGCAACATTCAGCCTGGATGCTGAACAGGTGGACATTGAAATTGTAACACTGCAAAATGACCTCCCCCTCAAAGCCCACCAGGCTGCACCAAACTTTTGGTGCCTGTTTGACAGAGAAAAGAACAGTGGTGTACGTGCAGCAGCTATGAAGGCTGCGAGCCTTATCTTTGTGAATCAGCCTTTTCTGATATGAACTTCCTCAAGCACAAACACAGAACACGGCAAACTGATGCATATCTGCAAGACTCACTCAGAGTCGCAGTGTCAAGTTACACACCAGAGACATTTGTCTGTTTTATTTGGTTTTTTCTCTACTTTTCATGTTTTATGTCTGTATTTGTCTGTGCACACTGGAGACTTTTGCTAATATATTCCAATGTGGTGTTTTTACTGCAAATGGCAAATAAAATGAATCTGAATCTGAGAGTACAACACACTAGTTAACAGCGTGCAATGCCAGCAGGGCTGGACTGGCCATCGGGCGTACCGGGCAATGCCAGAAGGGCCGATGCCCATATTTGGGCCGGTCTGTTTGCCTCATACAAAAAAGATGTTTGTGAAAAGTGTAAATCCGTTGAGAACTGTTCGAGGGGGCGCGCGTGTCCGCGGGGCACCTGCTGTATGTACTGGAACGGGATTCCACCACCTCAGCGGCCGCAGTGTTCCCGCATCCAGCGGCTCTGAGCTGGACGCAGGAACCGCTCACCGGGAGCCGCTCACAACACAACACGGTGAGCGCGTAGCCGCAACGTGACCATGTACCCAAGACCATAAACGCGCACAGGACCATGCGTGTCTTTGCGTAATTTGTGCACCCAATAAATACACCGCTGCAGGAAACAGTCCGCGTCTCCCCTCTCCTCTCGAAGTGCGACTAAATTAAAGCTCGGGTGCCTAAATTTTCCATTGCATTAAAAGTTCATGTTTGAGCCCAAAAGTAAAATGTTGTGAAAAAATTAAACAAATTTAGAGCCAGCCAATGGCTGACATTATGCATTTCAGTCTTTCTTGACCAATTCTCATCCCTGTAACAAACAACAGTGTTGTCTGCGTCCACCTCCCTCACTCTGAGACATGTTTATTACTCTCTTGTAATGTAGACTATTGCACTTTATTTTTTTGTTGAAACTGCAGACATCCTGATCCTCTACAGTATTTGCTTCCACATACTGTATAAACCAGGGGTCGGCAACCTTTAGTGCTCCTCCAGTGGCTCCTGGAGCCTTTTCAAAAATGTCTGAAAATGGAGTGGGAGGGCTATATTTTATTCCTAGTTTGAATGTGGTTTCTGTAGGAGGAACAACATTCCTAACGTTTTTCAATGCTGTAAAAATGTGTATAAGTAATATTCAATTTCAACATTTCTGTCAACGTAGTGAGTCATATCCTGTGGCACGGCCCCGCGGCAGACGGCCGCTGCTGTGAACAAACCGGCGTGTGGCACGGATCCCAAAGATAAAAAGAGAACGAGTCGATAAGACTGGACTAAGAACAAGACTGAACATTTGCTTTCAGTCAATGAGGAAGGACTGCTTCATGTTTGCGATGTAATAGGAAGTTTTGTTGCAACACGAGGAACAATGAAGCACTAAATACCGTTCACAGGGATTACGTGAAGGATTCTTTCACACAAAATCCAGAGCACCTTTTTCAGACTTCAAAAACCTCCGCAAAGACTGTGAAAGAAAAGGCCATTAAGGACATTCAGCTCCAGCAAACTTCAGCCTGTGACGTGATCGATATGAGCGGACAGTGCAGGTGTGTGACCTTTGAGCCAAAAAGCAGATTTATTTACTGTATTTCTACAGTTGCATGAAGGCAAAAAAATGGAAGTCAAAGTTAAAGCAGAGTCATCACGTGGTGCGTCATTCTCTCCTGGACACGCTGCAGTGAAAACTCACATTTGATAATCATGAATGCTAATCATGTATTTGTAGCCTTTACTTGGTCATTTAGATAATAGGCTAATGTAGCTAATGTAGCTACATTGTGTAACCTTCATATAAGCTTCATACAAGGCTGTTATTTTTTTGCGGCTCCAGACAGATGTTTTTAGTATTTTTTGTCAAATATGGCTCTTTGAACCTTTTGAGTTGCCGATCCCTGGTATAAACAAACTGTAAAAAACGTGACAAAAACATGCCTGGGCCGGTAAGAAGGAAAAAATGCCCGGGCCGTTTTTTTGTCCCAGTCCAGCCCTGAATGCCAGGCTTCCCACTAACTGACAAACATAACAGTGGTGTCCAGTTCAAAGTGTGACATGATTTATTTAAACCTTTGACAGTTGACTTTTGTGTTTTACATGAGTTATTATTTGTACAAACATGGTGCAAAGTAATTCATGATTTGTTAAAAATGTTAGTTAGCTGTGTCAGGCTATGTTGTTGGCTAGCTAGTTAAAATGGGGTATTGTGATGTCACAAGACTGTCTTTGTACTAAAGGCCCCTCTGTTTCATTGCATGTATATTACTACTGTTTGTTTACCTGTTGTTCCGTGAGTGTCCATTAGAGGGCGCCTCTACCTTTTACCTGAGTCAGACGTGACGAGAGTGAAAACACCCTTTTCTTGCTACAAATATAAGTGTCAGATGCAGTCTGTTGTTGTGGTCCAAAGTGTGCGTTCATGACAAAAGTAAGTACCTAAGAACTTCTGATGGTTGTAAACCTGTGTTTAAGTGTTTTAGTTCATTCAAGAGCCTTTTATATATATATATATATATATATATATATATATATATATATGTGGCCACGTTGCCTGTGTAGCTGCAGGGAGCTAAGCTAGCTGTTCTGTGCAATGTGGAATGTATCTGGGCCAGGCTGTTGGCACTGTTGATAAAGTGCCTATTATTTTAGTATTTTGATGTTCTTTATAACCCTGTCATATTGTGTTTGTATGGAGATGAGCACTTTGTAATTTAGTCTTTATTTGTGTTGCAGATACCACACACACACTCACACAGACAGGCACACACCCAAACCTGTACTCAGACCCTCTGTTCAATACAAAGGCAAAGTATCAACCCGTCTCGTCAATGTCTCTAACCTGGCAAGAGCCAGATTGATGATTGTGTAGAACTCTAACGCGTTCTCCACGATATCAATCTGGGATTTCTCCCGGAGAATCCTTTCGGGGAAAGGAGGGATAAGCAGCAGAATACTTCAAGCTGATTGGGCGAAGTGACGCTGTGTGCCCGCCTACCAAGGTTGCCGTCCAGAAATGTACAAAGCGCCTCTCGCTGTTCATCTTTCAAAAAAGAAATTGGAGATTCTGCTAAAACTGACTTGATAGCCTCAGCTACGCGTCCATCCTCCTGCGTAGCCATGTTTGTTTTGCTTCGGCCCGGCACTTCTTGCTTTCGTCAAACCCGGATATCCCGCCCTAAACCCCCAGACTGGCGCGTGATTGGCTCGCACACCCAGTGGTTCGACTCGAAAAGTGTAAGCGGGAGCGGTACAAGATGTATTCTCGAGTGTTTGTGAACTCACAAATACCGCGAGAATTCAGCTTGCAGGCAAGGTTACAATGTCTCCCCTCTGCATATCATTTTGGCTCAAGTAGGGTTCTGGCCGACCCTCCAGGACAGTAAGTGCTTCAATACCAAACCAGCACCTTCTATACAGTCCTTACAGTCCACCCCTGAGGTATCTATCCTACAGTCTGAGGTATCTATCCTACAGTCTGAGGTATCTATCCTACAGTCTGAGGTATCTATCCTACAGTCTGAGGTATCTATCCTACAGTCTGAGGTATCTATCCTACAGTCTGAGGTATCTATCCTACAGTCTGAGGTATCTATCCTACAGTCTGAGGTATCTATCCTACAGTCTGAGGTATCTATCCTACAGTCTGAGGTATCTATCCTACAGTCTGAGGTATCTGTCCTACAGTCTGAGGTATCTACCCTACAGTCTGAGGTATCTACCCTACAGTCTGAGGTATCTATCCTACAGTCTGAGGTATCTATCCTACAGTCTGAGGTATCTATCCTACAGTCTGAGGTATCTATCCTACAGTCTGAGGTATCTATCCTACAGTCTGAGGTATCTATCCTACAGTCTGAGGTATCTATCCTACAGTCTGAGGTATCTATCCTACAGTCTGAGGCATCTATCCTACAGTCTGAGGTATCTATCCTACAGTCTGAGGTATCTATCCTACAGTCTGAGGTATCTATCCTACAGTCTGAGGTATCTATCCTACAGTCTGAGGTATCTATCCTACAGTCTGAGGCATCTATCCTACAGTCTGAGGCATCTATCCTACAATCTGAGGCATCTATCCTACAGTCTGAGGTATCTATCCTACAGTCTGAGGTATCTATCCTACAGTCTGAGGTATCTATCCTACAGTCTGAGGCATCTATCCTACAGTCTGAGGTATCTGTCCTACAGTCTGAGGTATCTATCCTACAGTCTGAGGTATCTATCCTACAGTCTGAGGTATCTATCCTACAGTCTGAGGTATCTGTCCTACAGTCTGAGGTATCTATCCTACAGTCTGAGGCATCTATCCTACAGTCTGAGGTATCTATCCTACAGTCTGAGGTATCTATCCTACAGTCTGAGGTATCTATCCTACAGTCTGAGGTATCTATCCTACAGTCTGAGGTATCTATCCTACAGTCTGAGGTATCTGTCCTACAGTCTAAGGTATCTATCCTACAGTCTGAGGTATCTATCCTACAGTCTGAGGTATCTATCCTACAGTCTGAGGTATCTATCCTACAGTCTGAGGTATCTATCCTACAGTCTGAGGTATCTATCCTACAGTCTGAGGTATCTATCCTACAGTCTGAGGTATCTATCCTACAGTCTGAGGTATCTATCCTACAGTCTGAGGTATCTATCCTACAGTCTGAGGTATCTATCCTACAGTCTGAGGTATCTATCCTACAGTCTGAGGCATCTATCCTACAGTCTGAGGCATCTATCCTACAGTCTGAGGCATCTATCCTACAGTCTGAGGCATCTATCCTACAGTCTGAGGTATCTATCCTACAGTCTGAGGTATCTATCCTACAGTCTGAGGTATCTGTCCTACAGTCTGAGGTATCTGTCCTACAGTCTGAGGTATCTGTCCTACAGTCTGAGGTATCTGTCCTACAGTCTGAGGTATCTGTCCTACAGTCTGAGGTATCTGTCCTACAGTCTGAGGTATCTATCCTACAGTCTGAGGTATCTATCCTACAGTCTGAGGTATCTATCCTACAGTCTGAGGTATCTATCCTACAGTCTGAGGTATCTATCCTACAGTCTGAGGTATCTATCCTACAGTCTGAGGCATCTATCCTACAGTCTGAGGCATCTATCCTACAGTCTGAGGTATCTATCCTACAGTCTGAGGTATCTATCCTACAGTCTGAGGTATCTGTCCTACAGTCTGAGGTATCTATCCTACAGTCTGAAGTATCTGTCCTACAGTCTGAGGTATCTATCCTACAGTCTGAAGTATCTATCCTACAGTCTGAGGTATCTATCCTACAGTCTGAGGTATCTATCCTACAGTCTGAGGTATCTATCCTACAGTCTGAGGTATCTATCCTACAGTCTGAGGTATCTATCCTACAGTCTGAGGTATCTATCCTACAGTCTGAGGTATCTATCCTACAGTCTGAGGTATCTGTCCTACAGTCTGAGGTATCTGTCCTACAGTCTGAGGTATCTATCCTACAGTCTGAGGTATCTGTCCTACAGTCTGAGGTATCTATCCTACAGTCTGAGGCATCTATCCTACAGTCTGAGGTATCTATCCTACAGTCTGAGGTATCTATCCTACAGTCTGAGGTATCTATCCTACAGTCTGAGGCATCTATCCTACAGTCTGAGGTATCTGTCCTACAGTCTGAGGTATCTATCCTACAGTCTGAGGTATCTATCCTACAGTCTGAGGTATCTATCCTACAGTCTGAGGTATCTGTCCTACAGTCTGAGGTATCTATCCTACAGTCTGAGGCATCTATCCTACAGTCTGAGGTATCTATCCTACAGTCTGAGGTATCTATCCTACAGTCTGAGGTATCTATCCTACAGTCTGAGGTATCTATCCTACAGTCTGAGGTATCTATCCTACAGTCTGAGGTATCTATCCTACAGTCTGAGGTATCTGTCCTACAGTCTAAGGTATCTATCCTACAGTCTGAGGTATCTATCCTACAGTCTGAGGTATCTATCCTACAGTCTGAGGTATCTATCCTACAGTCTGAGGTATCTATCCTACAGTCTGAGGTATCTATCCTACAGTCTGAGGTATCTATCCTACAGTCTGAGGTATCTATCCTACAGTCTGAGGTATCTATCCTACAGTCTGAGGTATCTATCCTACAGTCTGAGGTATCTATCCTACAGTCTGAGGTATCTATCCTACAGTCTGAGGCATCTATCCTACAGTCTGAGGCATCTATCCTACAGTCTGAGGCATCTATCCTACAGTCTGAGGCATCTATCCTACAGTCTGAGGTATCTATCCTACAGTCTGAGGTATCTATCCTACAGTCTGAGGTATCTGTCCTACAGTCTGAGGTATCTGTCCTACAGTCTGAGGTATCTGTCCTACAGTCTGAGGTATCTGTCCTACAGTCTGAGGTATCTGTCCTACAGTCTGAGGTATCTGTCCTACAGTCTGAGGTATCTATCCTACAGTCTGAGGTATCTATCCTACAGTCTGAGGTATCTATCCTACAGTCTGAGGTATCTATCCTACAGTCTGAGGTATCTATCCTACAGTCTGAGGTATCTATCCTACAGTCTGAGGCATCTATCCTACAGTCTGAGGCATCTATCCTACAGTCTGAGGTATCTATCCTACAGTCTGAGGTATCTATCCTACAGTCTGAGGTATCTGTCCTACAGTCTGAGGTATCTATCCTACAGTCTGAAGTATCTGTCCTACAGTCTGAGGTATCTATCCTACAGTCTGAAGTATCTATCCTACAGTCTGAGGTATCTATCCTACAGTCTGAGGTATCTATCCTACAGTCTGAGGTATCTATCCTACAGTCTGAGGTATCTATCCTACAGTCTGAGGTATCTATCCTACAGTCTGAGGTATCTATCCTACAGTCTGAGGTATCTATCCTACAGTCTGAGGTATCTGTCCTACAGTCTGAGGTATCTGTCCTACAGTCTGAGGTATCTATCCTACAGTCTGAGGTATCTGTCCTACAGTCTGAGGTATCTATCCTACAGTCTGAGGCATCTATCCTACAGTCTGAGGTATCTATCCTACAGTCTGAGGTATCTATCCTACAGTCTGAGGTATCTATCCTACAGTCTGAGGTATCTATCCTACAGTCTGAGGTATCTATCCTACAGTCTGAGGTATCTATCCTACAGTCTGAGGCATCTATCCTACAGTCTGAGGTATCTATCCTACAGTCTGAGGTATCTATCCTACAGTCTGAGGTATCTATCCTACAGTCTGAGGTATCTATCCTACAGTCTGAGGTATCTATCCTACAGTCTGAGGTATCTGTCCTACAGTCTGAGGTATCTATCCTACAGTCTGAGGCATCTATCCTACAGTCTGAGGTATCTATCCTACAGTCTGAGGTATCTATCCTACAGTCTGAGGTATCTATCCTACAGTCTGAGGCATCTATCCTACAGTCTGAGGTATCTGTCCTACAGTCTGAGGTATCTATCCTACAGTCTGAGGTATCTATCCTACAGTCTGAGGTATCTATCCTACAGTCTGAGGTATCTGTCCTACAGTCTGAGGTATCTATCCTACAGTCTGAGGCATCTATCCTACAGTCTGAGGTATCTATCCTACAGTCTGAGGTATCTATCCTACAGTCTGAGGTATCTATCCTACAGTCTGAGGTATCTATCCTACAGTCTGAGGTATCTATCCTACAGTCTGAGGTATCTATCCTACAGTCTGAGGTATCTGTCCTACAGTCTAAGGTATCTATCCTACAGTCTGAGGTATCTATCCTACAGTCTGAGGTATCTATCCTACAGTCTGAGGTATCTATCCTACAGTCTGAGGTATCTATCCTACAGTCTGAGGTATCTATCCTACAGTCTGAGGTATCTATCCTACAGTCTGAGGTATCTATCCTACAGTCTGAGGTATCTATCCTACAGTCTGAGGTATCTATCCTACAGTCTGAGGTATCTATCCTACAGTCTGAGGTATCTATCCTACAGTCTGAGGCATCTATCCTACAGTCTGAGGCATCTATCCTACAGTCTGAGGCATCTATCCTACAGTCTGAGGCATCTATCCTACAGTCTGAGGTATCTATCCTACAGTCTGAGGTATCTATCCTACAGTCTGAGGTATCTGTCCTACAGTCTGAGGTATCTGTCCTACAGTCTGAGGTATCTGTCCTACAGTCTGAGGTATCTGTCCTACAGTCTGAGGTATCTGTCCTACAGTCTGAGGTATCTGTCCTACAGTCTGAGGTATCTATCCTACAGTCTGAGGTATCTATCCTACAGTCTGAGGTATCTATCCTACAGTCTGAGGTATCTATCCTACAGTCTGAGGTATCTATCCTACAGTCTGAGGTATCTATCCTACAGTCTGAGGCATCTATCCTACAGTCTGAGGCATCTATCCTACAGTCTGAGGTATCTATCCTACAGTCTGAGGTATCTATCCTACAGTCTGAGGTATCTGTCCTACAGTCTGAGGTATCTATCCTACAGTCTGAAGTATCTGTCCTACAGTCTGAGGTATCTATCCTACAGTCTGAAGTATCTATCCTACAGTCTGAGGTATCTATCCTACAGTCTGAGGTATCTATCCTACAGTCTGAGGTATCTATCCTACAGTCTGAGGTATCTATCCTACAGTCTGAGGTATCTATCCTACAGTCTGAGGTATCTATCCTACAGTCTGAGGTATCTATCCTACAGTCTGAGGTATCTGTCCTACAGTCTGAGGTATCTGTCCTACAGTCTGAGGTATCTATCCTACAGTCTGAGGTATCTGTCCTACAGTCTGAGGTATCTATCCTACAGTCTGAGGCATCTATCCTACAGTCTGAGGTATCTATCCTACAGTCTGAGGTATCTATCCTACAGTCTGAGGTATCTATCCTACAGTCTGAGGTATCTATCCTACAGTCTGAGGTATCTATCCTACAGTCTGAGGTATCTATCCTACAGTCTGAGGCATCTATCCTACAGTCTGAGGTATCTATCCTACAGTCTGAGGTATCTATCCTACAGTCTGAGGTATCTATCCTACAGTCTGAGGTATCTATCCTACAGTCTGAGGTATCTGTCCTACAGTCTGAGGTATCTATCCTACAGTCTGAGGTATCTATCCTACAGTCTGAGGTATCTATCCTACAGTCTGAGGCATCTATCCTACAGTCTGAGGCATCTATCCTACAGTCTGAGGCATCTATCCTACAGTCTGAGGTATCTATCCTACAGTCTGAGGTATCTATCCTACAGTCTGAGGTATCTATCCTACAGTCTGAGGTATCTATCCTACAGTCTGAGGTATCTATCCTACAGTCTGAGGCATCTATCCTACAGTCTGAGGTATCTATCCTACAGTCTGAGGCATCTATCCTACAGTCTGAGGTATCTATCCTACAGTCTGAGGTATCTATCCTACAGTCTGAGGAGGTATCTATCCTACAGTCTGAGGTATCTATCTATCCTACAGTCTGAGGTATCTATCTATCTGACATCCTACAGTCTGAGGTATCTACCCTACAGTCTGAGGTATCTATCCTATCAGTATCTGAGTCTGAAGTATCTCTCCTACAGTCTGAAGTATCTATCCTACAGTCCTGAGGTATCTATCCTACAGTCTGAGAGGTATCTATCCTACAGTCTGAGGTTGCTGGCAATTTATGTAAATGTAACAAACTGGTCGCCCTTCGCATTAATCAGTGCCTGAGAAGTATCTCTTGTTTCAAAAAGGTTGGTGACCCATGGTCCAGAGTTTACACATGGTAAGACCAGACGTACATGTAGGAATGATCATGGACCAGAGTTTACACATGGTAAGACCAGACGTACATGTAGGAGATGACCATGGACCAGAGTTTACACATGGTAAGACCAGACGCACATGTAGGAAATGATCATGGACCAGAGTTTACACATGGTAAGACCAGACGTACATGTAGGAAATGACCATGGACCAGAGTTTACACATGGTAAGACCAGACGTACATGTAGGAAATGACCATGGACCAGAGTTTACACATGGTAAGACCAGACGTACATGTAGGAAATGACCATGGACCAGAGTTTACACATGGTAAGACCAGACGTACATGTAGGAAATGACCATGGACCAGAGTTTACACATGGTAAGACCAGACGTACATGTAGGAGATGACCATGGACCAGAGTTTACACATGGTAAGACCAGACGTACATGTAGGAGATGACCATGGACCAGAGTTTACACATGGTAAGACCAGACGTACATGTAGGAAATGATCATGGACCAGAGTTTACACATGGTAAGACCAGACGTACATGTAGGAGATGACTATGGACCAGAGTTTACACATGGTAAGACCAGACGTACATGTAGGAAATGATCATGGACCAGAGTTTACACATGGTAAGACCAGACGTACATGTAGGAGATGACTATGGACCAGAGTTTACACATGGTAAGACCAGACGTACATGTAGGAAATGACCATGGACCAGAGTTTACACATGGTAAGACCAGACGTACATGTAGGATATGACCATGGACCAGAGTTTACACATGGTAAGACCAGACGTACATGTAGGATATGACCATGGACCAGAGTTTACACATGGTAAGACCAGACGTACATGTAGGAGATGATCATGGACCAGAGTTTACACATGGTAAGACCAGACGTAGATGTAGGAAATGACCATGGACCAGAGTTTACACATGGTAAGACCAGACGTACATGTAGATGATCATGGACCAGAGTTTACACATGGTAAGACCAGACGTACATGTAGGAGATGATCATGGACCAGAGTTTACACATGGTAAGACCAGACGTACATGTAGGAGATGATCATGGACCAGAGTTTACACATGGTAAGACCAGACGTACATGTAGGAAATGACCATGGACCAGAGTTTACACATGGTAAGACCAGACGTACATGTAGATGATCATGGACCAGAGTTTACACATGGTAAGACCAGACGTACATGTAGGAGATGATCATGGACCAGAGTTTACACATGTTAAGACCAGACGTACATGTAGGAGATGATCATGGACCAGAGTTTACACATGGTAAGACCAGACGTACATGTAGGAGATGACTATGGACCAGAGTTTACACATGGTAAGACCAGACGTACATGTAGGAAATGACCATGGACCAGAGTTTACACATGGTAAGACCAGACGTACATGTAGGATATGACCATGGACCAGAGTTTACACATGGTAAGACCAGACGTACATGTAGGATATGACCATGGACCAGAGTTTACACATGGTAAGACCAGACGTAGATGTAGGAAATGACCATGGACCAGAGTTTACACATGGTAAGACCAGACGTACATGTAGATGATCATGGACCAGAGTTTACACATGGTAAGACCAGACGTACATGTAGGAGATGATCATGGACCAGAGTTTACACATGGTAAGACCAGACGTACATGTAGGAGATGATCATGGACCAGAGTTTACACATGGTAAGACCAGACGTACATGTAGGAAATGACCATGGACCAGAGTTTACACATGGTAAGACCAGACGTACATGTAGATGATCATGGACCAGAGTTTACACATGGTAAGACCAGACGTACATGTAGGAGATGATCATGGACCAGAGTTTACACATGGTAAGACCAGACGTACATGTAGGAGATGATCATGGACCAGAGTTTACACATGGTAAGACCAGACGTACATGTAGGAGATGATCATGGACCAGAGTTTACACATGGTAAGACCAGACGTACATGTAGGAGATGATCATGGACCAGAGTTTACACATGGTAAGACCAGACGTACATGTAGGAAATGACCATGGACCAGAGTTTACACATGGTAAGACCAGACGTACATGTAGGAGATGATCATGGACCAGAGTTTACACATGGTAAGACCAGACGTACATGTAGGAGATGATCATGGACCAGAGTTTACACATGGTAAGACCAGACGTACATGTAGGAGATGATCATGGACCAGAGTTTACACATGGTAAGACCAGACGTACATGTAGGAAATGACCATGGACCAGAGTTTACACATGGTAAGACCAGACGTACATGTAGGAGATGATCATGGACCAGAGTTTACACATGGTAAGACCAGACGTACATGTAGGAGATGATCATGGACCAGAGTTTACACATGGTAAGACCAGACGTACATGTAGGAGATGACTATGGACCAGAGTTTACACATGGTAAGACCAGACGTACATGTAGGAAATGACCATGGACCAGAGTTTACACATGGTAAGACCAGACGTACATGTAGGATATGACCATGGACCAGAGTTTACACATGGTAAGACCAGACGTACATGTAGGATATGACCATGGACCAGAGTTTACACATGGTAAGACCAGACGTACATGTAGGAGATGATCATGGACCAGAGTTTACACATGGTAAGACCAGACGTAGATGTAGGAAATGACCATGGACCAGAGTTTACACATGGTAAGACCAGACGTACATGTAGATGATCATGGACCAGAGTTTACACATGGTAAGACCAGACGTACATGTAGGAGATGATCATGGACCAGAGTTTACACATGGTAAGACCAGACGTACATGTAGGAGATGATCATGGACCAGAGTTTACACATGGTAAGACCAGACGTACATGTAGGAAATGACCATGGACCAGAGTTTACACATGGTAAGACCAGACGTACATGTAGATGATCATGGACCAGAGTTTACACATGGTAAGACCAGACGTACATGTAGGAGATGATCATGGACCAGAGTTTACACATGGTAAGACCAGACGTACATGTAGGAGATGATCATGGACCAGAGTTTACACATGGTAAGACCAGACGTACATGTAGGAGATGATCATGGACCAGAGTTTACACATGGTAAGACCAGACGTACATGTAGGAGATGATCATGGACCAGAGTTTACACATGGTAAGACCAGACGTACATGTAGGAGATGATCATGGACCAGAGTTTACACATGGTAAGACCAGACGTACATGTAGGAGATGATCATGGACCAGAGTTTACACATGGTAAGACCAGACGTACATGTAGGAGATGATCATGGACCAGAGTTTACACATGGTAAGACCAGACGTACATGTAGGAGATGATCATGGACCAGAATTTACACATGGTAAGACCAGACGTACATGTAGGAAATGACCATGGACCAGAGTTTACACATGGTAAGACCAGACGTACATGTAGGAGATGATCATGGACCAGAGTTTACACATGGTAAGACCAGACGTACATGTAGGAGATGATCATGGACCAGAGTTTACACATGGTAAGACCAGACGTACATGTAGGAGATGATCATGGACCAGAGTTTACACATGGTAAGACCAGACGTACATGTAGGAAATGACCATGGACCAGAGTTTACACATGGTAAGACCAGACGTACATGTAGGAGATGATCATGGACCAGAGTTTACACATGGTAAGACCAGACGCACATGTAGGAACTGATCATGGACCAGAGTTATCATTTAAATGTAGACACTTTACCTCCAACGCTCCGTAAACTGACAATACCAGGTTTTTTATGATGGAATTCTAGAAAGAACAGAATTTCGTTGAATGAGTCTTGGTCAAAAGTCAAGACCGAGGCCACATTATTTCCACAGTGAATATTTTTTCTTGGGGCAGTTTCCTGAGGCGGTTTGCTCTTTGGGCAGGACTCCATGCCCCTTTTCTGTTTTATTAATCTATTGATATAATTTTATTTGATCCCATCGTGTTCCATTTTTATATTATTCAGCAGTGGCCTGAGGTGTTTCTTCTGGGCTTTCACTGGACTCAGACTCAGAAGGACCGGACAGAAGCTTGTGTAAGAGAAAGTTTTCATCTGAGTGAAGAACTAGTCGAAAAGTGGAGAATAGAGAAAATATTGATTTAGAAAACTCCTGCGATAAGATCAAAACTACTTATCACTGCTACTGCTTGTACAATAAAGTAGGATGATACAAAACAAAAGAGACAAAATAATGTTTTTCTATGTTAAATAGCAAACATCTCTCAACTTTCACAAATACAATGTACGGATCATAATAATTGAGGCACAAAATATATTGTTTTTTCCATCAATTATGAAACGATAAGTCAATACAGTTGTAATTGACAGACAAACTAGATTTAGATACTTTATGGATCCCCTGAAGGAGAAATGCAGATGTCCAGCAGCAGAAGACACACAGGTCTGTACTATGGACGCAGATATAACAACTAACACCAAATATATATTGTTTTTATACAATTATACCTTTAGTGCCCTGTGTGACAGATGTAGGACCAATCATAGCAAAAATCATGATTATTGCCACCTACAGTAAAACAGGTGAAAATATAAATTATCTTATCATTGTCATTTGGGTCAGGGTTATATATTATGTTGACGTTCCTTTGCTACTCAGAAAAACATGAATATAAGTATAAAGTAGTCATCTTAACATATGTGTCCAAACTAACTTGGAAATTAGAGTTGGCTCTGGAGTAAGTGTGGCTATAAGAAATAAGATAAAAATAGAATGGCTATATAATAAACAAATATTATTATGAATGTGTTCAGGTGTTTTGTAATTAACTGCTTGTTCTGATGACAAAGAATAATTCAGAACATTATCTGGTGCAACATTTTATTTTTCAATGAAAATTAAAGCTGTGGAACTTAACTGTTTGTAAATTAAACTGTTGAGCAAAATATCAAAAACATGCATTTTTTTTCTTAATTATTTATTGTTTTAATACTTGTAAGTCTGGAAGTCCGTTTCCGCCATGTAAACAAAAAAAAGACTACAGAAACTCGAAATTATGAGTTTAAAACTCGAAATGTTTAATACATTTTTACACGTCACTTTGTGGCGGTCCTACTATTGGGTTTTCTCTGTAAAACAATATATATACTTTTGTTTAATGTCATATTCGTGAATTATTTCAGACAAAAACATAAATTGGTTTGTAAAATGAATAAAAGCAGTGATGTTCCTTTCACAGGGCGGACTCTGATCCATCTCTGACTTTCCTTTTGTTCTGCACCTGCCGCTCCTTTCAGAGGCTGAATAACCACAGGAGAGAGTGGAACAATATTCAGCATTATCCCAGAGAGCAGTGTGCTAAGTGGGAACGCATGTCCTTATGTTATTTTTACTTTGCTTTTTCAAATGTCAAACAGAGAGAAGTGTGTAGGAGGCAGTCGGCAAACCTATCTCAGCTGACACACTAATGTTATGTCCAATTTCTGTGCGCTCATAAAGACACACTTCAACAAAGTGACAACACTAAACACAAAAATGCCATTTTACAGTGAACAGTTTAATGCTGATATATCTATCTATATATATATATATATATATATATATATATATATATATATATATATATATATATCTTTATACCTATTACTATAAAATAACTGCATGTATTTTTGTGACTCACCGGTTTATTTTATTGTAAAACAAAAACAGCAGCAGCACCAAAAGTGTTTATTTTCCTTGTAGCAGACTCCATCATCTGTCTTTGGTTGAGCCGTCCATGGACTTGGACACATATATACATATATACAGTATATATGTATGTATGTATGTATATATATGTCCATGCCCTCCAGTATCACCCACAACTTTATAGTGTTGTTTTTATCACATTTTCATTGTTTTGCAAAAACAGACATCTCCCTCTCTTTGAGAAGTAGTAAAACAATGGGCCTCATTCACGAACGGTTCTTAGGAACAGATTTGTACGTAAATCCTACTTACGAGGTTTTTACGAAGAAAGTGGCATTCACGAATTTTTCTCGTAACCAGAATTTCTCTTGGGCAAGTACAAATCCTACGAGTCCTCAGGAGCACTCGTACGCATTCAGTGCCGACATGTTCACACGCCGGGGTTGTCCTCTTTGGTGAAGTTTAATAAAAATACAACATTCCAGTGATATGTCCGTATGTATTTAATCTATTATTTCATTTTTGTGGTTACATATTATTTTTCATATTCATTTTCAAATGAAATGTGCCAACGCTTTTCAAAATACATTGGAAATCTTGCCGTGTATTAGTGACCCCTTCCTATTTATTGGGGGCATTTCTTTATCCACGGGCCACAGAACAACGGCATATATACTGCTGCTGCAGGAGGTTACTGGGTCCGCGCTGAGTCTCTGCGCTGGTCTCTCCCATGGATCTATACGGGTCTGCACTGGTCTCTCCCATGGATCTATACGGGTCTGCACTGGTCTCTCCCATGGATCTATACTGGTCTGCACTGGTCTCTCCCATGGATCTATACGGGTCTGCACTGGTCTCTCCCATGGATCTATACGGGTCTGCACTGGTCTCTCCTATGGATCTATACGGGTCTGCACTGGTCTCTCCCATGGATCTATACGGGTCTGCACTGGTCTCTCCTATGGATCTAGACGGGTCTGCACTGGTCTCTCCCATGGATCTATACGGGTCTGCACTGGTCTCTCCTATGGATCTATACAGGTCTGCACTGGTCTCTCCCATGGCTCTAGACGGGTCTGCACTGGTCTCTCCTATGGATCTATACAGGTCTGCACTGGTCTCTCCCATGGCTCTAGACGGGTCTGCACTGGTCTCTCCCATGGATCTATACGGGTCTGCACTGGTCTCTCCTATGGATCTAGACGGGTCTGCACTGGTCTCTCCATACGGGTCCGTGCTGCATGCTCCTGGATCCATACGGGTCCGCGCTGGTCTCTCAAGTCTGGTCTATGCGGTCTCTCTTCGGTCTTTTCTAAAAACTTGGTAAAGGGCCACATTGTAAGCATCTCCAATATTGTCACTTTTCTGTTCATGCAACTAAACTATTCAAACACTTCCGGGAAAACACTGACGTACAACTTCCTCGAGGGACACGCTAAGACCAAAACAAGGCGTCTTCAAAAACGACTGTATCCTATAATTAACTTTTCACTTGGGTGTTTAGTCCAATAATCACAAGGTGCCTCTCGACGCTCCGCTGCACAGACTTTCGTCACTTTCGCCGCCTGACACTCATTGTTCAGTCCTGAAAGACGCTCGCTGAGGGTTGTCAGTTGAGACAAAAAATGAGAGGAAGCGCCGCAGCAGTTTTGTTAGCAGCACAAAATTAAAATGTCATTATGCTTCCCTATTCTTAGCCGCAGCTGCTGCAGGGATCTCCCGCATCCTCGCCATTGTTCAGGAACAAAAGTCACTGAAGTTCAACCGTTTTCAACAAACTTCCTCAAAGGGACTAATGTGTCTCCATGATGGGATATCCGGACGTTAATATTGTCTGAGAATACACACATGAATCACTGCAGCTCTAAAATCACTCAGAGAGATTCTTCTACTGACGGCCAGACTTTGAAATAACGTTTGGGATACAAAGAAGTCCATGTTTACCTCAGTCAAGACCTCCTTCTGTCCGGCGGCAAACTAGTCTGGATTGCAAAATATACAGTATAGCATTCAGACTGAATTTGCCATTTGCAGTAAAAACATATTGGAATACATTTGCAGAAGTCCCCAGTGTGCACAAGTCAAGTACATACATTAAAAAGATTAAAAGTACAGGAATAAAACAAAAACAATTGTCACTGTGAAATCGATCAAACTAAAACTGTTTCAATACAAGTTCAAGATCATTAAAGAGCTTTGTTTAAACTGTTAACAACTTGTGGGAAGAAGCATCTCAGCGAACGACATCTTCTGCCAAAGGGAAGAAGCTGGAACATGGCTTTTCCAGGGGCCAGAAGAGTCATTGATTATGCTAAAAGCTTGGTTTAAATAAAGAACCTCCAGAACAGACAGATCACAATCCTCTATCAGAGCAGAGCACCTCACTGGTCTCGCTCTGGTCTCTCTCTCTGGTCTCTCTCTGGTCTCTCTTTAGTCTCTCTCTGGTCTCTCTTTAGTCTCTCTCTGGTCTCTCTTTAGTCTCTCTTTAGTCTCTCTCTGGTCTCTCTTTAGTCTCTATTTAGTCTCTCTCTGGTCTCTCTTTAGTCTCTCTTTAGTCTCTCTCTGGTCTCTCTTTAGTCTCTCTCTGGTCTCTCTTTAGTCTCTCTCTGGTCTCTCTTTAGTCTCTCTCTGGTCTCTCTTTGGTCTCTCTCTGGTGTCTCTTTGGTCTCTCTCTGGTCTCTCTCTGGTCTCTCTTTGGTCTCTCTCTGGTCTCTCTCTGGTCTCTCTCTGGTCTCTCTTTAGTCTCTCTCTGGTCTCTCTTTGGTCTCTCTCTGGTGTCTCTTTGGTCTCTCTCTGGTCTCTCTTTAGTCTCTCTGGTCTCTCTTTGGTCTCTCTCTGGTGTCTCTTTGGTCTCTCTCTGGTCTCTCTTTGGTCTCTCTCTGGTGTCTCTCTGGTCTCTCTCTGGTCTCTCTCTGGTCTCTCTTTGGTCTCTCTCTGGTGTCTCTTTGGTCTCTCTCTGGTCTCTCTTTAGTCTCTCTTTAGTCTCTCTCTGGTCTCTCTTTAGTCTCTCTTTAGTCTCTCTCTGGTCTCTCTTTAGTCTCTCTTTAGTCTCTCTCTGGTCTCTCTTTAGTCTCTCTCTGGTCTCTCTTTAGTCTCCCTCTGGTCTCTCTTTAGTCTCTCTCTGGTCTCTCTAGTCTCTTTCTGGTCTCTCTTTAGTCTCTCTCTGGTCTCTTTAGTCTCTCTCTGGTCTCTCTTTAGTCTCTCTCTGGTCTCTCTTTGGTCTCTCTCTGGTGTCTCTTTGGTCTCTCTCTGGTCTCTCTCTGGTCTCTCTCTGGTGTCTCTTTGGTCTCTCTCTGGTCTCTCTCTGGTCTCTCTCTGGTCTCTCTTTAGTCTCTCTCTGGTCTCTCTTTGGTCTCTCTCTGGTGTCTCTTTGGTCTCTCTCTGGTCTCTCTTTAGTCTCTCTCTGGTCTCTCTTTGGTCTCTCTCTGGTGTCTCTTTGGTCTCTCTCTGGTGTCTCTTTGGTCTCTCTCTGGTCTCTCTTTAGTCTCTCTCTGGTCTCTCTTTAGTCTCTCTCTGGTCTCTCTTTGGTCTCTCTCTGGTGTCTCTTTGGTCTCTCTCTGGTCTCTCTCTGGTCTCTCTCTGGTCTCTCTCTGGTGTCTCTCTGGTCTCTCTCTGGTCTCTCTCTGGTCTCTCTTTAGTCTCTCTCTGGTCTCTCTTTGGTCTCTCTCTGGTCTCTCTTTAGTCTCTCTCTGGTCTCTCTTTAGTCTCTCTCTGGTCTCTCTCTGGTCTCTCTTTAGTCTCTCTCTGGTCTCTCTCTGGTCTCTCTTTAGTCTCTCTCTGGTCTCTCTCTGGTCTCACAGCCCTCTTTTAGAGTGGACCTTGTTTAGAGCTCTCCTTTCTTTGTCTGTGATGTCACCAAACCACAGTCACAGAACCAACAAGCAAACTGGAGCGGCGATAAAAGTTAAACAGAATCTTAGAGTTGGTGATGACGCTGACGAGCTGGGAAATGTCAGTCTGAATACACTGTGTATTGTATTCAGATTGTATTTGTTTGTGATAAAAGTCAACTAATGTGTGTGACATCAATCACAGCTTTGACTTCCAGATAAAATGGTAAAGGCTGCAACAAAGTTTACAAGAGATTAATGTGTGGGGAAAAGTGTAGGGTTGGCTCTTTCTACGTCTTTACAATCCAAGTTCATCAAGCGCAAACATATATTATTGAATAAGTAATTTTTAGTCTCATTTAGATTCACCAACATCATACAAGCCATCCAGATAAGTCCTGTCAGGGGCTAAGTTCAACCAACATCCATTAAAACTAAATGCTATATGTGCATTTTAATTTATATCAATTTGTTAAAATGGCCCCGAGAAAGGCCGGACATTTTTGTGAATGTCATGCACATCTAAATTGGTTATTATTTCTCTTTAAGGTTTCAGAGCCACAGACACAACATTCCATTCTAAGGTCATGCAGTGTCAACCTATTTCCATCTGCTGTGGATGGCGGGTTATGGTCACGGATGAAAAAGAGGGTGGGACACAGACAATGGTTCTGTTTGAGTGCAGTGTGTTTTTCAATGAAACGTTTGTTCAACAGAGCTCATCATTTTATCTCAAAATTGTCGCCTCAGATTTTTGCTAAATGTTCTGGTGATTGAGGGACTGCAGCTGCAAAGTTCACCCAAGATTTTCAAATGTTGAAGTTTTTGAAAATGCTCCCATTTGCAGATGCAAACTCTGTTCGGAAGAAGCTCAGAGAATAAAACCCTACACATCAATCATTTACACAAGTGAAAGTGGACCAACTCTGGACCAGAAATCGGACAAGATATTGGACCAAAAACTGCACCAGAAAGTGGGGCAAAAACTGGAGCAAAAGTTGACCATTCATGTTTATGTAAAACACAATACTTCTTTGATTCATTCACACGGGGCAAACCCTCTGTGTTGGCATCAAGTGCCACACACTGCTGTGTCAGAGGCCTTCATTGTTGCTTATTGTACACTTTGTACAGTTTGTCGTCTGCATTTGACCCATCCTGAAAAGCCAAATGTTGATGCTCGACTTGATCAGTACTAATGCTGCAGGAGGATAGTATCTGTTGTTTATGTTTTAATGGTAGGGGAAACCGGAACACTCAGATGGAACCTTTGTTGCCACAGAGAGAACACACACTCCTCTGAAAGATAAGATTATGACTGGTCTCACAAATGAATACGTCACTTTGGCATAGATAGGATCACTCAGATTGTGCAAAAGACAAGTGTGCAAACATGAAAGACCCTGTTCCAACTGGGATTCAAACCCAGGACCTTCTTGCTGAGAAGCAAGAGTGCTAACCACTCTGCCACTGTGCCACCCTGGCATCTTATACTGTAATTCTCCTTTGAATAGCCCATGATCTTTTTTAACCAGTCCCAACCAGCTTGCCACATTTGGCAGTGTGTGTGTGCGTGCGCGTGTGCATGTGCGTGTGTGTGCGCGTGTGTGTGTGCTTGTGCGTGTGTGTGTGCATGTGTGCGTGTGTGTGTGCTTGTGCGTGTGCATGTGTGCGTGTGTTGAAGTAGGTTTGTGACAGCTGGAGAGGGTTGATGATGGAAACCTCTCAAACACAAAAGCCCAGCCCTCACTGTGCTTTCTTTCATTGGAAAAGAGAAAAAAAAACATTTACCAAAAAGCTCCATCTCTTTCTCACAAACAGGTTGTCCCTTTGAAACCTCTTCCTTCTTCTCAAGCCCAAGCCTACGACATAGGAAATAGCAGCCTGTTGAGCAGCCATCAGTCTCCTGGCATTTGATCAATGGCCCCGTCTCTTTGTGTGGTTAAGCGACAGATAAAAGAGAGCCTTATCGGCGCCGCAGCATCGTTGGGAGATGGCGCCGTGGCGTTGGGGTTGAGAGGCTGGGGGACGGAGTTCTGCTCTGCTCAAGTGTGCTGTGGAAAATGGTGGAGAATATTAGAGAGAGGGAGGAAGGGGAGGAATAGGAGAGAGTGTAGGTCGCAGACTTAACACAAGACTTATCAGCTCTTCAGAAGTCTCTGGAGAGGAACATGGCAGTGTGTGGGAGAGCAGGAGGAAGACGGAGAGAAACTATCATACATCTTTTAAACAAACTATCCTACAATTTAAACTCGACTTTTATCCTTATGTCCTCGGTTTAAGTCCATCTCCGGCCGGGGTCCTTTCTGCGTCAAGTTTGCATGTTCTCCCCATGTCTGGCTTCCTCTGGGTGTTTTGGTTTCCCCTACCAGTAGAAACATGTATAATATTTCAGACTGACTGAGTGTGTGTTTGTGAAGTGCCACTGTGGGATAAATTAGCCCAAGACTACAATCCAGAGAGGTTCATTTACACACACTGTATATTATATCTATATTATTCTATTCTCACAATATAATCTTATTATTATTCTTATTTTCAGATTGTTACTTTAATGTTATTTTTATTGTGGAATACTAAGCACGCTTGTGGATCATTAAAGTCTGTCTAAGTCTAAGTCTAAGTCTACAAACTAAAAAAACAACAGGAATATCCCTAAAAAGGGCTGATGAGGTCTGTCTTGAGCCAAAAGGTGACAACATGTGTACAGTCCTTTCTAATTACACACAACCATATTCTGTATTAAGGCTTAGAAAGTTATTTAAATAAGACTAAAATTTTAAAAAGCTAGAACCACTTAATTACCTGACATGTTTTGGCGGGACTCGCTACTTTACATTTTTTTTGTCTAAGAATCTTTCAAAGCCATACCATAAGGAGACAATATAGACTTTCTACATTTATATTCTGTATTTTAGAAAGCCCAC